TAATTGTCTTGGGCTAAATTATTTAATTTGGTTTTAAATTGTTTCTAACTTTTGTATTTATATATTTGATTCTGTGCCTGTTCACCGCCCTGAGTCCTTCAGGAGTAGGGCGGTATATAAATTTAATAAAACATAAACAAACATAAACATTAAGGGCGCAGCGAAAGGTACGAAGGTCGGGAATCCGACGAACCTCCGGGGGCAGCTCGTTCCAGAGGGCAGGTGCCCCCACAGAGAAGGCCCTCCCCCTGGGGGCTGACAGTCAACACTGTCTAAACGACGGCACCCTGAGGAGACCCTCTCTGTGGGAGTGGACTGGTCGGTGGGAGGCTATCGGAGGCAGAAGGCGGTCTCGTAAGTACCCAGGTCCTAAGCCATGGAGCGCTTTAAAGGTGGCAACCAACACCTTGAATCGCACCTGGAAGACCACTGGGAACCAGTGCAGCTCGCGCAGGAGAGGTGTCACATGTGAGCATTGAGTGGCCCCCATAACCACCTGCGTGGCCGCGTTCTGGACCCGCTGGAGCCTCCGGGTGCACCCCAGGGGGAGCCCCATGTAGAGAGCATTGCAGGGAAGTGATGAGGGCGTGAGTGATTGTGCGCAAGGCGTCCCGGTCCAGAAAGGGACGCAACTGGCGAATCATGCGAACCTGATAAAAAGCCCCCCTGGCCACAGCCGTCAGATGGTCTTCTAAAGACAGCTGTGAGTCCAGGAGGACACCCAAGTTGCGAGCCCTCTCTCACCCCCAATAGTCAGCAATGGAACCAACTGACTATGACGGGACGCCGGAAACCACAGCCACTCGGTCTTGGAAGGGTTGAGCCTGAGCCTGTTTCTCCCCATCCAGATCCGTACGGCCTCCAGGCACCGGGACATCACTTCAAGGGCATCATTGGAGTCGAGCCTGAATTTTTATTTTTATTTTTAAATTTGATTTATATGCCGCCCTGCTCCAGAGACTCAGGGCGGCTTACAATGCGTTAAGCAATAGCCTTCATCCTTTTGTATATTTTATACAGTCAGCTTATTGCCCCCACAAACTGGGTCCTCAATTTACCTACCTTAGAAAGGATGGAAGGCTGAGTCAACCTTGAGCCTGGCGAGAGTCAAACTTACTAATTGCAGACAGCTGGAGTTAAATTACAGTGCTTTAGTCTGCTGAGCTATCCAGGCTGAACGGGGAGGCTGAGCTTGCATGGACCCCTCGCCCGGACCAGATCGGATCAGCAGGCACGTGTGTGAACCCAACCCGGAGTTGAGTGGGTGGGTGTGGGATGCCTGGGACCCCCCCTCCTCTCCCCATTCCCACCCCCTTTGCTCTCCCATGGCGAAGGCAGCCCCCCCACCCCCAACTCGGAGGGGGGCTGCTCTTCTGCCTTCGCATTCTGCCTAGATGCCCTGTAGCCCGGCCTACCTCGCAGGGCTGGCCGCGTCAGAGGAGGGGCCGTGGGTTAGGGACCCCCTTGCCTGGCAGGACGGCCATAGGGAGGGGGCAAAGAAGCGCGAGCTGGTGGCAGCTTGGAGATAAATAAGGATTAATTCCAGATACTAATAGAAAGAGGGGAGCAGCCGGTTGAAGAAAGGAAAGCATAGTGTTGGCTGCTAATAAAAATAAGGTTGGTGTAATAATAATATTGTAAATTAATTAATAAATATACATATATACACATAAATACACACACACATACACATACAGGAGTGGCCAAAATTGTGGAAACCTTTTGGGAAAAGTGTATTTTTCAAGTTTGATGGCTAATAACACCACTTTTTTGGGGGAGTTTCAAGAGAATCCTGTTCTACTGCTGGAATAGCCTGGGAAGAGCCCAGACCTTCACCCCATTGAAAAGCTACAGAGCCGACTAAACAAACTGGTTAGTCAGCAATAAAACCCAGTTAACAGAAGCCATCATTCCATCTTGGTTTCACATTAGAACAGCTGCAGAACTCAAAGACTCGGTTCCCTCCATGGGAAGACGTTGTAAGGCCTACCTGTATGTGGTTTTGGTAAAGAAGGGAAAAAAATTGGGCCTGTGATCCCCAAAGATTGATCCAAATTGCACCCAGGGGCAAAATTTTGCACAGGGTAGCAACCCGGGTGAAATGCTCCCGGTTTGGACCGGATCGCCCGATCCGGTAGCGATGGCAGTGGGTGGTTCAGAGAACCGGTAGCAAAAAATCTCTGCACCCCCCCCACACCATGCCCAGCTGAGCTGCACCATCATCAGAGGTTTTTTTTTAAAAAAAACTTTTAAAAGCATTTTTTCTACAATATCATCTGACGAAAAAATGCTTTTAAAAGTAAAAAAAAAGAAAAAGCCTCTGATGATCGTGCGGCTCAGCTAGGATCATCAGACTTTTAAAGCATTTTTTTCTGCAACCTCTTTGGCCGAAGAGGTGGTTAAAAAAAAATGCTTTTAAAAGTAAAAAAAAAAAAAGCCTCTGATGATCGCGTGGCTCAGCTGGGATCGTCAGAGGCTTTTAAAAGCAATTTTTCTACAACCTTTTTGGCCGAAGAGGTGGTAAAAAAAATGCTTTGAAAAGTCTCTGACGATCCCAGCTGAGTTGCCTGATCGGCAGAGAGGCTTTTCAAAGCATTAGAAAAAAATGCTTTGAAAAGTTAAAAAAAAAAAAAAAAAGTTGACCACGCCCACCCAGTCACATTAAAACTCCCCCCCACCAAGCCACGCCCACAGAACCGCTAGTAACAAATTTTACATTTCACCCCTGGTAGCAACTACGTGCCCAGAGGGGCTGGATGGGTGAGGGGCTGCCCCAGGACGGAGATTGAGCCCGCCAATTACATCATAAGCCAGGATGGCCGAAAAACAAGCCATTGCATCTCCCATCCAATTTTACAAATATTATTTTTTGCTGCAGTCGTAAAGCAGACTACGGGATACCACCGTCAGTCATAAAAGGAGGACCAAAATGAGGTCACGTGACTGCAGAGGGAAGGGGAGGAGGGAAGCCAAGGAGGTTTTGGAACCGTGTTCACAAGTAACTTGGGGGGGGGGTTGGTCCCGTTGAAACATCGAAGACTCACTTGAGCGACCGGTCGTAATCTGAGGACTACCTTTATGACAGCCAAATGGATCCAGTGTGAGGATTTGAGGGGGGGGCGCTTCTAGGAGCAAACGTGGCCAGCCCTCCTTCCCCCCTCCCCTTCGCACTCTGACCTCACCCAAGTGCCGGTTTTGTCCCAGAGATTTCGGCCGTGGCCAATTTTGGTTTTGTAGTCCATCAAGAACCGCCAAGAGACAATCAAGAGGGCAGCCCCACCCACAGCTTTTAGGGGGGTCCTGGAGGATGCACCCAGGTGCAAAAAGGGGTGGGGCTTAGCAGGTTAGGACACGCCCCTCCGCAAACATCATCAAACACACCTGCCTGGAAACTCTTGTTTCATTCTCGGGGGATCCAGCCCTGCCCAAATATCACCCCAATTATTAAAGCGATAATTTTGAGTGGTGCGGTGGCCTAGAGATGGAGCTCTTGCTTCACAATCAGGAGGCTGTGAGTTCGATCCTAGGTAGAGGCAGATATTTCTCTCTCTGGGTCACAATAAGAATTTATCTGCTGAACAAAACTCCGCCCTGGTGACAGGAAAGGCATCCGGCCACTAAACACTCAGCACCATTCAGTTGCCCCAACTCCACTCTGCAAGGGATTATGGGGCTGTTAAAAGAGAATGAGGATTAAAGTGATAATTTGGGGAATGGCTACCCCACTGCAGGGGGCCCCCAAAGCCTCTCTGGATGACCCCTCAGCTGGGAAGAATGCCTCCCCAAGGATCCCAAACTCTCCTGCCACCGTCCGTGTCTCCCACGGGGCAAATGACTTCTTTCGTTCTGGTTTCCTTTCTGGCTCTCCAGCCTTATGGATCCCGGCAGATCTTTTGAGGCAGGGATCGCTTTGGCCAAGCCCACTGATCTTTTCGGTCAGGGATCCATCAGGGAATGAATGAGTAGTGCGGTGGCCTTGAGTGGAGCCTCTCGCCTCACAATCAGGAGGCTGTGAGTTCAATCCTAGGTAGAGGCAGATATTTCTCTCTCTGGGCACGATGAGAATATATCTGCCGAACAAAACTCCGCATCGGCGACAGGCAGAGCATCCGGCCAGGAAATACTCAGCTCCATTCAGTTGCCCGGACTCCACCCCGATGCATGGGATTATGGGGTCGTTCAAACATGATGATCCAGCAGGGAATGAATGGCAGATGACCCAAAAAGATACCCGCTGTTTTTTTAACGACGGCATGGATAGTTATACTTTCTCTTGAATTTGGTGGTACATTGAAAACGTGTGCCTATTTTATTTTTATTTTTTTTAAAAAAACTGCTTTTTGCCGTTCTGACTAGGGGTGTTTCCTCACCACAATAACAACAACCCTGAGAAGTGTCCGGTTTTTTCCCCCCGTGTTGCTTGCTGGTTTTTAATCTGACCAGCCTGGAAATCCCATCCTAGACAGGTAGTCCTTGACGTACGACCACAACGGAGCCCGACATTTCTGTCGTTAAACGAGACATTGGTTAAGTGAGTCTCGTCCCGTGTTACGATCTTTCTTGCCACGGCTGCTAAGTGAATCACTGCAATTGTTAAATTAGCACCACGGTCGTTAAGTCAATCTGGCTTCCCCCCCACTGACTTTTCTTATCAGGAGGTCGCAAAAGGGGATCACGTGACCACCCCCCCGGGGCACTGCAACCGTCATAAATAGGAGACAGTTTGCCAAGGGTCTGAATTTTGACCATGTGGCCTTGGGGACGCCGTATTGGTTGTAAGTGTGAAAAACACTCGTAGGTCATTTTTTTTATTCAGTGCCATTGAAACTTCGAATGGTCACTAAACGAACGGTTGTAAGCCAAGGACTAACCCATAGTAGATGCTGAATTAAAATCGAACAAAATTGCAAGAGAAAACCCAAAATATAACAGTGGACGGAACAGAAAACTGCTCCACTCCCTTAAAGACACCTGTTCTGAAATGGTGCCATTTCGCTTAGTTTCCACCTTCCCAGCTCGTATTCAGTAGAAAAAGAACAAAAAGACCCAATAAATAAATCCTGAGGTTCCTCCAGAATTTGCCTTTGGTTTGGAAGAGAGTTTCGAGGCCTGCAGAAATTCCCTGCCGAATTCTACGCCTGCTTTTAAGAATAACTTCAGCACTTTGCAAGGACAAACATGCCGCACGGAATTCTTTTCCGGCAGATCCCACTCCTGCCACCAATCCGGTGGGGGAAAGAAAGCGCGTAAATCCACTTTATAGCTGAGGTCTATCAAAAGGAATCGGAGAGCGTTCCCTTTTCCTGCGGCTGCTCACCGGCGCGATTGCGCGACAAAACTAAGCATGACATCTTGACTGGGGATCGTAAGGGAGTCTTTTAGTCCCGGCTCAGCCTAGTCGGTGTTTTTGCTATGGCAGGGCAGCCTGACCCGCCATCAAATGGGCTGCCAGGTTTTGTCTATGGTCTGAATGTGCTCCTTCGCCTTCATGCGCAGCGCGGCGATGCTGGAATTCCGCTGGTCAAGTTCCTCCAAGGGATATTTGTCCACAAATGTCGTGGCACACTGGTACGCCATGGGTTGCATGCTCTGGGGCAGGGATGGGGGGTTATTGAGGAAGGGGTGGCCTGGGTAGGTGGGCTGGAGGGCCTGGCTGGGCCCCATCAATCCCGAGATGCTGTGCACTGTGGTGGCACCGGAGATGGGAGACGTCAGCCACGGGTCTAAGGGGAGAGAGTTGCCGATCGGCCCCATGTTGGCCGCCATCGGGGGCCGGCTGAAGGACAGCACGGGGGTGTCGTGAAGCTTCATGGCGGTGGCTTCCATCTTCTCCTGACGGCGCCATTTGGCGCGCCGATTCTGGAACCACACCTGCAAAAGAGTGGCAGCAGAGGAATGAGAAACGTGGCTTGTCTAGGCAAGCTACCCATCGTAAGCCTGGCCAACCAGAAGATTTGCGGGGTCCTTGGTGGCCTCTGAGCTTGGTGGTTTTCTTGCAGGCATTTCATGACCCAACTAGGGAACATCATCAGTGCTAGAAGGGAGGAGGGTTTGCGAGGAGGAGGAGGAGGAGGACTGTGGGGTCCTTGGTGGCCTCTGAGCTTGGTGGTTTTCTTGTAGGCATTTCATGACCCAACTAGGGAACATCATCAGTGCTAGAAGGGAGGAGGGTTTGCAGAGGATTTGCGGGGGGAGGGGGGAGGAGGAGGAGGAACAGGAGGAATCTGATTGTTTTCTTGCAGATGTTTCATTACCCAAACCTAATGTCAGCACTCCAAACTACATTCGTTCCAGTGCTGACATAAGGAGGAGAAGAGGGGGCAGCTGGCAAGAGGACGCTTGATTTTTCACCTACTTATTTTCCCTGAAGATAATATCCCCTAGGAGATGGGATGGGAGGGGGGACATTCCTGGGAGCTGAAGTAGTAGATATGGGGAGAGTGATTTGGAAGATGGCCAATGAGACACAGAGAATTAGGGAACGGAAAGGGAAGGTTTGGGGTCAGGAAGTCAGTGCTGGCTACGACGAAGTCGGGGCCAGATTGTCGTGCTTAATAAATGAAAGATTTCATCAAAGACTATTTGTTTGGAAATGCAATTTATTTGAGGCGACACTGAAACCTGACACCTAGTTTAGAGAGAACCAGGCTTAGAGAGAGCACCCAAGGACTCCCCATTTCAGCCCCGAGCTACCAATATTCTTCCTTATTGGGGTGAAATCTACTTTACCTTCCCAACCGGTTCGGAAGTGCACGCGCCGTGCGCACAGAAGTAAAACCCAGGAAGTAACGATGGCTGGGTGGATGCATGAAGCGTTGCACCGCCATTGCTACCGGTTCTCCAAACCGGTCCAAACTGGGAGCATTTCACCCCTGATTTTTCCCCCAAGATATTTTCTCTCCTGGGACAAGTCTGGGATGCGTGGATGTTAACTCCCAGAATTCCCTGGCCAGCTGGTGTCTGGTTCCGCTACTTGCAACCTGTTTAGTGGCCGTTTGACATGACAATGGCAGTGGAGGAAAAAAAGCGACTTGAGGCCCTTTTTTCACAGTTACGACCGTTGCAGCTTCCCCGTGATCAAAATTCAGGCGCTTGGACACTGGCTCGTATTTATGACGGTCGCAGCATCCCGGGTTTGTGTGTGGGTCACGCGATCCCCTTTGGCAATCCTTCTTGACAAGCAAAGTCAACGGGGAAACCAGATTCGCTTAACAACCAGGTCGTTAACTGAACAACTGCAGTGATTTGCTTAACGACGGCGGCGAGAAAAATGGGGCAAAATGGGGCAAAACTCACTTAACTGGCTCGCTTAGTAACAGGAAATTTGGGGCTCAATTATGGTCGTAGGTCAAGGACCAGCTATACTGTCAGTGACGGGGTCTAGTCCACCAACTTTTTATTATAAACCCCACTATTCTTTTAGAGTCGCAGCTTCTTTGGTTTAGTAATTGATTATATTTTAATTAATTGGTATCCCTTTATTTCTCTTCTTTGCTTAGTGTTTAGTAATATTTATTTAAACAATTTATGCAACCATCCATCTCAAAGCAATGACTTCCAGTAATAACAGAAGAGGATAACAGGATTGGAAGGGAGCCTGTGGGTCATCTAGTCCAACCCCCTGCCCTATTCATCGATCGGCTGAACCCAGGACACTACAACCAGGGGGGAAATGTAAAATTTGTTACTACTGGTTCTGTGGGCGTGGCTTGTGGGGGGGGTAATGTGACTGGGTGGGCGTGGCCAACTTTTTTTTTTTATTTTAACTTTTCAAAGCATTTTTTCTGCAAATGCAAAAAAAAAAATTGCTTTGAAAAGCCTCTCTGCCGATCAGGAAAACAGCTGAGATCGTCAGAGCCTTTTCCAAGCATTTTTAAAATCATCTCTTCCTCTGAAGAGGTTGCAGCGGAGTTGCCTGATCGGCAGAGGCTTTAAAAGTCTCTCTGATGATCTCAGCTGAGTTACCTGATCGTTTTAAAAAAATGCTTTGAAAAGTCTCTCTGCCGATCAGGCAACTCAGCCGGGATCGTTAGAGGCATTTAAAAGAAAAAAAAGCCTCTGCCGATCAGGCAACTCAGCTGGGATCGTCAGAGGCATTTAAAAGAAAAAAAAGCCTCTGCCGATCAGGCAACTCAGCTAGGATTGTCAGAGGCATTTAAAAGAAAAAAGCCTCTGCCATCAGGCAACTCAGCTGGGCTCATCAGAGTCATTTAAAAGAAAAAAAGCCTCTGCCGATCAGGCAACTCAGCTGGGATCGTCAGAGGCATTTAAAAGAAAAAAAGTGTCTGCCGATCAGGCAACTCAGCTGGGCTCATCAGAGTCATTTAAAAGAAAAAAAGCCTCTGCCGATCAGGCAACTTAGCTGGGATCGTCAGAGCCTTTTGAAAGCATTTTTTACAACCTCTTCGCCGAAGAAGTTGTAGAAAAAATGGTTTTAAAAGTTAAAAAAAAAATTGGCCACACCCACCCAGTCACATTACCCCCACCCACCCACCAAGCCACGCCCACAGAACCGGTAGTAACCAATTTTAGATTCCACCACTGCACCCAAAGCCAACTGGATTCTGCTTACCTGAACTCGAACTTCTGGGAGGTTGACCTTCATGGCCAACTCTTCCCGACTGTAGACGTCTGGGTAGTGGGTTTTCTCAAAGGCCCTCTCCAGCTCGTGAAGCTGGTAGGTGGTGAACGTGGTCCGATTACGCCGGTGTTTCTTCTTGGACAGCTCCTCGTCCAGTTGTTCCGGGGTGCCGCTGGCCTCCTCCACGCTCCTCCGCAGCTCGCTCAGCTCCGCCTCCGGTTTGCCGAGGAACATTCTGGAGCCTGAAAGGAAGAGAGAAAGCGGTGGTCAGGGAGGAGGAATCAGGATTGAGCTGGAAGGGACCTGGGAGGTCTTCTAGTCCAGCCACTTCCTTGGGGAAAAAAAACCCTCCAGAGATGGAGCATTCACAACTTCCGGTGGCAAGCTGTTCTGCTGGTTAATCGTCCTTAAGTGTTAGGAAGTGTCTCCTTCATTCCCATCACCACCCGCGCGGCCGCACTCTGCGCCAGTTGGAGCCTCCAGGTGCTCCTCAAGGGGAGCCCCATGTAGAGAGCGTTAGAATAGTCCAGGCGAGAGGTAACGAGGGCATGAGTGACTGTGCGTAGAGAGTCCCGATCCAGAAAGGGACACAACTGGCGAATCAGGCGAACCTGATGAAAGATCCTCCCGGTCACGGCCGGCAAGTGCTCTTCTAAAGACAGCCGTGAATCCAGGAGGACGCCCAAGTTGCGAGCCCTCTCCGTGGGGGCCAGTGATTCGCCCTCAATAGTCAGCGATGGCATCAACTGATTATATCGGGACGTCGGAAACCACAGCCACTCAGTCTTGGATGGGTTGAGCCTGAGCCTGTTTCTCCCCATCCAGATCCGCACGGCCTCCAGACACCGGGACATCACTTCAAGGGCATCGTTGGGGTGGTCCGGGGTGGAGATGTACAGCTGGGTGTCATCAGCGTACTGGTGGTACTTCACCCCGAAATCACGGATGATCTCGCCCAGCGGCTTTACATAAATGTTGAACAAAAGGGGCGAGAGGACTGACCCTTGTGGCACCCCCACATATGAGGGGCTTCGGGGTCGACCTCTGTCCCCGTGCCAACACCGACTGCGACTGGTTGGAGAGAAAGGAGGAGAACCACAACAGCACAGTGCTCCCCACCCCTAACTCTTCCAACCGGTGTAGCATGATACTATGGTCGATGGTATCAAAAGCCGCTGAGAGGTCCAATAGGACCAGGACAGAGGAGCAACCCCTGTCCCGAGCCCTCCAGAGATCATCAACCAACACGACCAATGCCGTTTCCATGCTGTACCCAGGCCTGAAGCCCAACTGGAACGGATCCAGATACATCGTTTCATCCAGGTGCTGGGGGAATTGTCGCGCCAACACACTCTCAACAACCTTCGCCAAAAACCGAAGGTTGGAGACCGGATGATGATTAGCCAACAGTGCCAGGTCCAGGGAAGGCTTCTTGAGGAGAGGCCTCACCACCGCCTCTTTCAAGGCGGCGGGGAAGTCACCCTCACCCAATGAAGCATTTATAATCCCCTGGAGCCAGCCTCGCGTCACCTCCCGAGAAGCCAGCACTAACCAGGAGGGACACGGGTCCAACAAACATGTGGTCGCATTCAGTCTACGCAGAATCCTGTCCACGTCCTCAGGGGTCACAGGATCAAACTCATCCCAGATAACATTCTCAAGACCTGCCTCAGTCATCCCCCCTGAGACTACCCAGTCGGAGGCCTTCCCGAATCTGAGTGATTGTCATGGTGTTTCGTGCCACAGAGACTGCTTGCCAGAACTTAATTTGCAGCCTTTCGGCTGGGAGCTCACGGCCTGGCAATTATCGCAAGGAACTGATAAGGTCTGTTACAGCTGTTACACTCCTTGCAGGACTCTTGCCTGGACTTTTGGGTGGGCGAATGGAATTAATTCACAAGAGGTAAATAAAGAGGAGTCCATTTCTTGCTTCTGCTAAGGCTGGGTCAGAACAGAAACAGTGAGTTGCTTTCACTCACACAGAAGGTGGGTTTACACATCACATCTCATGTGATTCATAATTATGTCTATACTTTTATCTGTTATCTAATACATGCTTGACGAAATAAATAAATAGATTTCTGCAGCAATGTTTCGCCACAACTTGACCCCGGGGGCCAGTAGAAGGGTTCAAATCCTATCGCTAGTCAGTTCACTCGAGGGCGCGTGCCTGCTCGCTTCTGCGCATGTGTAGAGACCAGTGGTGGGTTCCTCCCGGTTCGGTCCGGTTCAGCCGAGCCGGTAGCGGTGACGATATGAAGTCACCGAACCGGTTCTCCCCCCCCTTCCCCCTCCCACATTATTCTTACCTTTTATTTGGTCCCACCCCCAATCTATTGCTGCCTCCTGAATCCCAGCTGATGGCTAGAGGGAAAAAAACTGTCTAAACTCTTGCCACCCTACAGCTGATCAGTGTTAAAAGCAAACAAATGAGTCGGGTCGTAAGTGCGAGGACTGGTCGTAAGTGCAAGGACCTTCTAGAAATGACGCTGACCAGCTAGCCATGCCCACCTAGTCACATGACCTCCAAGCCACACCCACAAAATAAGCCATGCCCACAGAACCGGTAGTAAAAAAATTTAGAACCCACCCCTAGTAGAGACATCCTGGTGGGTGGGTGGAGCCTCCCGATGTAAGGCGAACCGGTAGCAACCTACTACTGCCGGGGGTTTGTTATCTCTTTTCTGCTTTTATTTAGTTCTGGAGATTGGCATTCTTTTCATTTAAGGAACTGATAAGGTCTGTTACAGCTGTTACACTCCTTGCAGGACTCTTGCCTGGACTTTTGGGTGGGCGAATGGAATTAATTCACAAGAGGTAAATAAAGAGGAGTCCATTTCTTGCTTCTGCTAAGGCTGGGTCAGAACAGAAACAGTGAGTTGCTTTCACTCACACAGAAGGTGGGTTTACACATCACATCTCATGTGATTCATAATTATGTCTATACTTTTATCTGTTATCTAATACATGCTTGACGAAATAAATAAATAGATTTCTGCAGCAATGTTTCGCCACAACTTGACCCCGGGGGCCAGTAGAAGGGTTCAAATCCTATCGCTAGTCAGTTCACTCGAGGGCGCGTGCCTGCTCGCTTCTGCGCATGTGTAGAGACCAGTGGTGGGTTCCTCCCGGTTCGGTCCGGTTCAGCCGAGCCGGTAGCGGTGACGATATGAAGTCACCGAACCGGTTCTCCCCCCCTTCCCCCTCCCACATTATTCTTACCTTTTATTTGGTCCCACCCCCAATCTATTGCTGCCTCCTGAATCCCAGCTGATGGCTAGAGGGAAAAAAACTGTCTAAACTCTTGCCACCCTACAGCTGATCAGTGTTAAAAGCAAACAAATGAGTCGGGTCGTAAGTGCGAGGACTGGTCGTAAGTGCAAGGACCTTCTAGAAATGACGCTGACCAGCTAGCCATGCCCACCTAGTCACATGACCTCCAAGCCACACCCACAAAATAAGCCATGCCCACAGAACCGGTAGTAAAAAAATTTAGAACCCACCCCTAGTAGAGACATCCTGGTGGGTGGGTGGAGCCTCCCGATGTAAGGCGAACCGGTAGCAACCTACTACTGCGGGGGTTTGTTATCTCTTTTCTGCTTTTATTTAGTTCTGGAGATTGGCATTCTTTTCATTTTGGGAGAAAGTTCCCGGATCCGATGTTTTCTCAAGCTTGGCAGCCGGAAGATGCTTGGACTTCAACTCCCAGAATTCCCTTGCCAGTCATGCATGGCTGGGGAATTCTGGGAGTTGATGTCCGTGCATCTTCAAGTTGGCACGGTTGAACGATGTTTGCTCTGCTTAATTTTGCTAGCAAGAGGACACCGGACTGCACTCCAGTCCAGCTTTTATGCACACATGGCAGGAGAAGCTGAACGGAGCCTCCAGGTTTAGTCATCTTAGAACTAAGGAGGAATTTCCTGACGGGGAGAACAATTCATCAGTGGGAACTCCTTGCCTCCAGAAGTTGTGAATGCTCCAACACTGGAAGCCTTTAAGAAGAGACTGGAGAACCCTTGTCTGAAGTGGTGCAGGGTTTCCTGCCTAAGCAGGGGGTTGGACTAGAAGACCTCCAAGGTCCCTTCCAACTCTGTTCTTCTATTCTGTTCTATTCTAATCGTCTACCTCTGAATGTTATCAGCCTTTGCATACAATGCTGCTGTTTTGGGTTCCCAAAAGTTCTTTGGTTGCTGGAGGAGTCAGAAAAGTCAATATAAAATCACTGTGGTATTGTATGGTCAAATCTCCACCATTGTTTATCTGTCTGTCTGTCTGTCTACTATCTATCTATCTATCTATCTATCTATCTATCTATCTATCCATCCATCCATCCATCCATCCATCCATCCATCCATCTATCATCTATCTATTATGTTCATCTGTCTGTCTGTGTTTGTCTGTCTATTTATCTATCTATAATCTATCTTTCTATTATCTGTCTATCATCTGTCTGTCTGTGTTTATCTGTCTGTCTGTCTATCATCTATCTTTCTATTATCTATTTGTCTGTCTGTCTATCTATCTATCCATCCATCCATCTATCATCTATTATGTATCATCTGTCTGTCTGTGTTTGTCTGTCTATTTATCTATCTATCATCTATCTTTCTATTATCTGTCTATCATCTGTCTGTCTGTGTTTATCTGTCTGTCTGTCTATCATCTATCTTTCTATTATCTATTTGTCTGTCTGTCTATCTATCTATCCATCCATCCATCTATCATCTATCTATTATGTATCATCTGTCTGTCTGTGTTTGTCTGTCTATTTATCTATCTATCATCTATCTTTCTATTATCTGTCTATCATCTGTCTGTCTGTGTTTATCTGTCTGTCTGTCTATCATCTATCTTTCTATTATCTATTTGTCTGTCTGTCTATCTATCTATCCATCCATCCATCTATCATCTATCTATTATGTATCATCTGTCTGTCTGTGTTTGTCTATCTACTATCTATCTATCTATCTATCTATCTATCTATCTATCTATCTATCTATCTATCTATCTTATCATCTGTCTGTGTTTGTCTGTCTGTCTATCTATTTATCTATCTATATCTATCTATCTATCTATCTATCTATCTATCTATCATCTATCTATTATCTGTCTATCATCTGTCTGTCTGTGTTTGTCTGTCTGTCTATCTATCATCTATCTCTATTATCTATTTGTCTGTCTATCTATTTGTCTATCTATCTATCTATCAATCTATCTATCATCTATTATCTATCATCTGTCT